CTCCTTTTTAGCAAACTTTTTTTTTTTTTTTTTTTTTTTCTTACAGGAAAAGGAAAAGGAAAGCGGAGGGGTAGATATGGAGAAGGGAGGAAGACACCAAGCATAAATCTTGTCCTGGAGGAAAGGACTTAACTGCTCAGAACTTCTTCAGGCTTAATTTTCTTCTCTCTAAAATGTGTTTGTTTTGCCTTTACTCTTAAAGGATATTTTTCCTGGATACAGAATTCTACTTTGATTGTATTTTTCTTTAGCACTTAAGAAATGTTCAATTGTTTTCCGGCCTCTGTGGTTTCAGATGAGGTTAATGGTCTTTCAAATTGCTCCCCTGTAAGTAACAGGTCATTTTTCTCTAGTTGCTTTCAACATTTCCTTTTATTCTTTGCTTTTCAGACGCTTTGCCTAGGTAGCATTTTGTGTTTATAGTGCTCAGGTTTCACTGCGCTTCCTGAAAATGTAAATTTATGTCTCATGTCAAGTTTGGGAAAACCTGAAATATTATTTCTCCAAATGCCTGTTATCACTGCCTCAGTCTCTGTTCTCCTCATGGGATGCCTACCACACATGTATCAGTCTTTTTAATATTGTCTGGCAGAAACCTCACACTGCATTCATTTTTGTTACTAACTTTTCTCTGTGTCCTTCAGATTGGATCATTTCTACTGATCTACCTCCAAGGTCACTGACTTTCCACTTACCCCATTAAGCCCATAAACAATTGTTTTATTTTGGATATTGTATTTTTCAATTCTAAATTTTCTTTTTAAAAGTTTCTATTTTTTTTTTTTTTTGTATTTTCACTCACTACAAACCTAAGTTTCAATAAAGCTTTACATTTTTGTCTTGAGTCAGATGTGGTGGTACATTGCCTGCAATCCCAGTGTGCTAGAGGCTGAAGCAGGAGGATGTGGCGTGAGACTAGCCTGAGCTACACTGTGAAACTGTCTCCAAAACAAACCAACAAACAACCCACCTACCTACCCCCACTGAAACCGTATTCCAGTTCCACAATTCTGGGCCATCTCAGGTCTCCTCTCCCCTCTCTTCCCCTCCCCTGCCCTCCTTTCTCCTGTCCTCTTGTCTCTCCCTCCCTGCAACCCGCCATGTAATCTGAGGGACTATATCCACGACACTGTGGAAATGATACTGTGAAGACAGTGGATTCTGCTGCAGTCCTCTAACATTTAAAGGAATTGTTAATACTTTTTAGCCGCTTTGTTGGACTACAGCTGCAAACTCTCTCCTGAGTGAGAGCTGAAATACCTTCCTTCGGCTTCTCACATGTGGCCATGCTACTCTGCTGCCTGCCCAAGAAGTGGTTCAGATACCCAACACTGACTGTTTCTGTGTGTGGGTCGGCCCCGGCCCCGGCCCTCTAAATGGACTGTGATCTAAAGGTCATTTTTGGTCTACAGGTTTAAGTCAGAATGTAGAACACATTTCTCATACAAACAGTTCTCTTACCTTGAGCGGTTATACTAACAAACCACTATAAGGTCATTTAACCAGTTGCTCCTAAATCCTGCTATGATTTGCTCATTTACACAAGAAAAATGCAATGTAAGTGCTTGCTTTTTTCTCATCATATAATCAGATAACTGGGAAAATAACCTTGGCATGGGACCACTTGTACAATTATGTTCTCCTGAGTACACAAATACGCTACCTGCCACTCTGCAATTCTGACATGGGACAGACTTCTCCTTCTGGGTATAATGTAGCAGAGCTTAAGACATTTACTCCTGTGGCAAAAACAAACAAACAAACAAACAAACCCACAGAAAATAAAAACTGCACTTTTCCATGAAGCTCGCAAAGAACCTGGATGCATGGACACTGTGACAGCCAGTCTGCAAGGGGCCTCTGAGCGGCCTCCCCTACTGGAGGGCCCTCCCTGTGTGGCGACCAAGAGTGCCGACCTGCTGACCTGAGTCACCAGTAGGATGTACTGAGAGCGCGGTGCGTGGCCTCCAGTGAGGTCCCCAAAGTCAGCGACACGCTGCACCTTCCTATCTCTTTACGTCTCTCAGCGGTGTTCGGTGCTTGTGTTACAGTTACTTTGTCAAGATAAACATCTAAATTGTCTTTGTTTTACAGTGCTGAGGTGCTAGTTAGTGCTCAATAACTAGTGAATAAAAACATAATAAAGAGGATTTTATTGAGACTTCCGTGAGCATCTAAGATAATTTTGTGAGACTTCTGATATTTCTTAAAGCGATGTATCACCTGTTAGGTGAATTTTAAATGTCTATTATATATTTTATGCATCATTTTCTATTCTCCCTCTGAGTTTAAATGACACACACACACACACACACACACACACACACACACCCCTACCAGACTGTTAACATACTGTCCCACAAGTCCCTAAAGCTGTGTTTCTTTTGCACGGCTGCTGCTTCAGTTCCCTCAGACCCTGGTGCTGAGCAGGACAATGCAATCGTCTAGGGGAGCGTGGTGCAGCAGACACTGGCTGTGCTTCTATTCGGGTTATAGCTGAGCCGGAAGTAACATTTCTAGCTAGCAGTGGAGAACCAGGTGAGCTGAACCTGAAGGTTCAGCGTCTTCAGTTACTTACTGTCTCTGTTGCCCCTGGCTAGACCAGAAGGCCCCGGAGGGCAGGCATGCCCTGCTCTGCCCAGCTCGGTGAGGCAGCGACCACACAGGGGTGCCACTCAGTCTCAAGAAGCGCACTTTCTAGGTACGTCTCAGATACACTCTTTGCCCTTTTTATTATGCTTTCCTCAGTTGGCTGTTCCGCTCCTCCCTCTCCTCTTCCCTGGGCTGAGGCAGGAAGCACCACCACTTTGGCAGGTGTCCCTCTTAGTGTATTCAACAGACAGATAGAAGGACGGGTCCCTTAAGCCTTTCCCCAGAGCTTTTGCATTGCAATGAAAATCCTGAATACATTTTCCGTAGAAGTACTGTCGAAGAAGTATCATTTTTGGAGTACAAAATAGATTAAGTCACCTTATAATGGGCTTGCTTAGAAATGTAATGAATGGAATTAAAAAATGTATTCTGAGTTTTGCCTTTAAACAACAGACTACAAATGCCCTTGGGATCAGAGTCTATTTGCAAGAGGGACTATGTACACCCCCAAAACTACTAATATTAGAAAACTGGTTATTTCACTTTGTCCTAATAATTTTATTACCATTAATAAAATAAGCTTTTAATAATAACAATACAAGCTATTAACTAATACTTTGTGTATTTTCCCCTACTGTTTATTTCCTCAAAGATTTGGAGCTTTTATGAAATTCATTACAAGTGCTACCAGGCCCCAACTCAAAGGCGAAAAACTATCTTTCCTCTCAGCACAAATAAAACTGCCTGGTAGTCAATAACATCCACATAAGAGCTGGGCACGATGGTGCACACCTGTAATCCCAGCACTCGGGAGGCAGAGGGATCACCATGAATTTGAGGCCAGACTGGGCTACATAATGAGTTCAAGGCCAGGCCAGCCTGGACTACACAGTGAGACCCTGTCTCAAAGACAAAACAACAAAAAATCCATGTATTAACACCAAAGCAGAAAGCTCATTATCTGAAATAAAAGTGATTCCTTAATTGTGGTAGAGACTTAAATCAGAGGAAGGTTTTGGTGTGGGGAAAGCACGTTTGGTTTGCCATCCCATGCATCGGGATGACCAAGGACACTGTGCTCACCACCTGAAAGCCTCAGGCTATAGTAAAAACTCTTTAAGAACACACTGGGATTAATGATGGTGGTATCACAGCTGAGACAAAGTCAGCTCTGGAAACAATATTGGGCTGAAAGCCCTACCACACATTCTACCATCACTGCTTCACAGAAGACTCAGGGAGAAATTTCTTAGCTTGGAGTTCATCGGCCTACATGAGCACTGAACTCATCCAGGACTTTCCCAAGATAACACGTGTCTAATTTTTCCTAAGGGAAGGGCACTGCTCCTAGGACTGCCTCTCTGGAGCACTCGTGGCTCTTTGCCCATGCCCTGGAGCTGGGCCAGCAGGGGAGTAGGTGTCCTCAATACATGGCTTACTGTCACCCCCATTCTGGCCAGAACTACATGGAGTGCGAGCCAGGTTATGCAAGATGTTGGGGCTGAAGCAAGAGTCAAATGTTCTGGTTAAGAAGTCTCAAAGGCAGTGCTTGGCCCTGAGGTGAGGAAAGCAAGGCCAGTGAAGTGCAGGTTCTGGTACTGGAGCAGGCCTCTTAATTGCAGACTGCCCTGGAAAAGACTTGAAGGTGGTTCTGTCACTCTGCATAGAATGAGAGGCTGAGGCCATCCTTCTGAGAGCCTAAGAAGGAAAGATTATTGCTGCTCTGAAAATAACAGGCTGTCTCTTCCTACTGACTCAAGTATCTGTTCTGGTTACTAGCATCTTGATTTGTATTGAGTGACTCTCTCAAATATTCAGTTTTAAATTTTTCCAATTAGGCCTGGGGATTTAGCTCAGTGGTTCTACTGTCTGCCTCACAAGCACAAGGACCTGAGTTTAAACCTCAGTACCAAAAAAAAAAAAAAAAAAAAAGGAGCAAAATCCTAGCAACTAGGGCTCTTACTGTAGAGAAATAGTCAATACACTAGAGTTCAGTGAAAAGCTGATTCTTCCACTTTTTGTGACAACAGTGCGGTTATAATGGAAAATGTGACAATATATCAGTGCATCAGATCATCACATCATAAACTCAAATATATACAATTTTAACTGCCATGCATAGCTCAATAAAGCTGGAAAAATAAAGCTGCTTATTTCCATAGCAAAAAAAAAAAAAAAGTGTGTGAATTCATTTTTCCTTCGACTAGAAAAAAATAAAAATAAACCACTTACTGATTGAATCCAAAGCTCACTAACGGAATCCAACATGCAGTATTCTACATTGCCAGCTCACTTTCTTAGTTCCTAAGGATACTTGGCTTAGTGTGTCAAGGCCAAACACAAAATTGAACAGAATGATCAAAAGCAGTCCGTTTATCTGTAAGTCTAAGATGCGAAGTCGGCCTTACCCACTGCACCCGATGACTTTATTGTACAGGTAAGATGGCAGCCCTTTCAGGTGAACGTTGTTATCCATGTACACATACTGTAGTTCTCGAGATCGACCTAGATCTGGAACAGAAAGGCAAGTGCTGTAATACCTTGCGATAGGCACCATGACGATGTGAAATGTAAAATATTCAAAATTTCCTATTCTGGAAGAAAAAATGTTGTAGATTTAACTCTGATTGTGAAATGATGTCAGCTTCAAATATCAGACTCTCCATTGGAAAATGTGGCTGTAGAAAAACTACTTAACCGACCTACACTATGATTTCTTAAACAGTAAGATGAATCACTAGCATTAGAATATTCACATATTTCCTTTCCACAGCAAGATTCTTTGACATCTTATAGGCAATTGCAAGATAAGGATACATCTGCTGAAGGTGATTTATTTTCACTTTTCAACATAGAAAGTGTTACACGAAGTAAGCTGATAGTTCAGCTTAAGCATGCCCACTTCTACCTGTTGGTGACAATTCTTTGCCAGGCCCCTGCACCTTCTCGTAGGTTCCTCTGCATACATCCTTGTAACATCCAGTTGTAACAAAGAACCCTGGTATATCAGGTTAGCAAGAAACTCCCTTCCCCACAGCTGACTGCACACAATACATGATCGGGTTCCTCACCCTTCATCTCTCAGGTGATGTCTGGTCACCAGGGCCCTCTACAGCAAGAATCTTGCTAGGTTTGTTAAGCCAGAATCCCCTTTACCTTCTCAGTAATTTTCCATTCCTCGACTCCCACTACCCCACTGCAATGGGACTGTAAATTCCCATTTGCCCATGCTGTATTCTGAGTTGACTCAATCTCTCTCCACTACTGCAAGACTTCATTGCAGTGGCTCCTGTACCTATTTCAGTGTCGTTAATAAAGTCTACCTTACCGTGCCTTAAAGTGTCACTGAAACATTTTTTTTTCTTTATAGAATCTATATATCAATTTCTATGTCTCACGTCAAGGCAGCAGACAAACTAGAAGCAGGCGAGGGAGGACTAGAATCTTAGGAGCCAAGCAGATATGGGAAGATACCTAGCTCCCTTGTAGCTACAGGGCAAGGAACAAGGGAGGTAAAGCCCAAGTCCCAGTCCCCAGGGTGGCATAAAGATGGAGCTGACAATACCATGGGTCAGTGAACAGGGGCTGGAATGAAAAAAGGGGAGATGGGGTCTGCAACAGGAACAGGTATGCCGGAAAGGACAGGTATGCTGGACCCAGACACACACTTCCCAGAGGTAGCCGGGCAATAGGGGGGCAAAGGCTAGAAGGGGCTCAGTGAGGAAATGAGATTATACGTGCTGAGGGCCATCCCCAGCCAGTGAGGCACCCGGACCAAGTGTCCAAGTTATTCCCACCCACGAGCACCATGATTTGTGGCCAACTCTGGTTTATACTCCAAGCGCTCATGGAGCAGGGCTGTTTGTCTTTACTATCACAGAGGCATACAAGAGTTTCGAGCAGCCTTGCTGACCCTCTGCCTCTGAAAGCAAGAGCATCATCTTTGAAAGGTTGTCTAGAGTCCCGCTTGTAAACACAGGAAACAGGCAGAAAGAGATCTCTTCTTCCTAGACTTTCCATGGTCTAGGAAAGACAAAAGCTCAAGTGCTGCTAAGTGAGGAGGTTCTTAGATACACTTACAACCCAGAATATAAGCCATTTACCCATTAAGGATCTTTTTGGCACCACGCTAGGCCTTGGGAATACAGATATGAATATCGCATTAATGGATGGGAATGCAGACATGAAAAGTGATAACTGTAACACAATATGACTGTTGCTAGTTTGGAGGCTTGTCTAAAGTCTACAGCTTGCAGATGGGTTCTACCCAAAGTGAGAGGAGCGGAATACGAGGCTGAGGTGAGGAAGGACGATCCTTCCCGGGCCTGGCACTGGAGAAAGTTACAAAAAGAAGCTAAGACTGGGGGCATAAGAACAGGCAACAAAAGGTGAACTGGCAGCTCTCTGGGAGATAAGGAAACTAGCGGGTTCCAGCTTGGGAGTTCCTGGTACGGTGGTTTTACAGTAGCAAAAAGGAGGAGGAAGAAGAGATGGGTGCAGTTGCAAAGCCTAAGTCACAAGAGGCACTGTGGTGGCCCCCTTTCTCTCTCTGGGATCACTCATTCTGGAGCAAGAGGATTCCCTTGTCGCACAGGCACTCCCACGAGCATCCACGGGTAGCTTTCCACACCCCGGGGAAGCCTGTAGATGACTCCAGCCCAGACTATGTAAATATCCTGTTCTTCCTCAAAATTTCGTCCACTAATTTTAGCCTTCATTCACAGATCTTGTCTAGTTTTCAACAGTGATTTATTTTCTATTGTCGTTTTTCTAGCTACATTAATTGAAATTCTTCTAGAAGAAAGAGCTATCCCTTGTCTCTCATTTACTTGATTTTTATGTTAATATGATTCACGGATATTTATTTTATTATAAAAGATTAAAAACCAAATGCTAACATCACTTACCTTGTCGGTCAATGTGTTTGTTTTGGCAATTAGGAAGAACTTTGGGTTGGCTACTGTGTTCTTTCAACAAGTCCTCACTCTTCTTTGACTACTTCCAGATTTTATGGTACATTGCACTCAGCTTATAGTTTCTCTGCCAAAGCCTTCCAATCGACTACTTCTCCAAGGAGCCATAGTTCCTTTTGCTGGAGTATGGTGTTTAGAAACCATGATCTGAGAGCTAGATGTGCTCATTACTGCTGGGTGTCAGCACCTCAGGGCTCTTGGACCTAGGGAACACGTGCATACTAAAACCTGTACGTGCTTGTATTTCTATCCTAGGAGAAGTGTCTTCAACACAGAGTCCTAGAAGTGAGCTTACTAGCTTGTGAGGTAAGAACACATGTAACTTCTTTGGCATTGCCAAAATTTGTTTTGGAAGGATTATACCAATCTGCATTCCTACCAACTGTGTGTGAAAACATCTGCTTTCCCCAGAAAGCAGAATATGCTGTTGTATTTTAAAAAAAAATTTTTTTGCCATTCTGTTAGGCAAGAAATGGTACCTCAGCATTGTTTCAATCTTCATTATTTTAAATAAACATTTAAAAATATACATGAAAGGGATTTTTATACATTTTTTGTGTGTGTGCCTGTGTGTGTGTGTGTGTGTGTGTGTGTGTGTGTGTGTGTGTGAAATGTTTACACATATCTTTTCCCCATTTTCCTATTGGGTTTTTAGTATTTGGAGCCTTGATTTTTATGACAAAAGCCCCATGTTTGTGGTATATGTTATAAATATTTTCTCCTACAGTGCCATGTGTCATCTGACCTTGTGATTTTTTTTGCGGGGGGGTTAGACAAAATATTTCAAAAGTCTGTTTGCAAAACTTGCCAGTCTTTTAAAATTATATATATATATATAAAATAATTGTAAAGCTTTGCTCTGTAACAACAAAGGTTAAAGCAGAATTCATTTACATATTCTTTTGTGCTTGGGTAGGTTTCATTTTTCTTTTATTTTCCAAAATTTAAGTTCTTATTTCATTTGGAATTTATTCCTGTGCATGACACAAAATGTATGCCTAAATATTTATTTTTTCATTTGATGATCCAGCCATCTCAGCTTCATTTATGAACTTTTTAGTCCACCTTTATCCCACTAACACCAAAAAAAGAAAAGTAAAGGAAATCATAAGACTACAAGAGAAATTATAAATTACAGATTCAAAAAAAAACTGTCATTCAATCATGCTGCAAACATGTAAAAAATAAAAGAAAACCACTAAGCCAAAAAAGGGTGCATCATTAGAACATTAGTGCACTGTGGGGAATAAGAGAGCCACAGTGTCTGCGCGGTCACCTACCAGTCCTCCCAGCAAAGCCCCGGGATCTGCATGTGTTAAGGGACGTGACAGGGTCAGGTCCCTCAGCTTTATTAGGTTTGCTGAATGCAAAAGCAACCTATTAAGTTCAAATGACTATACAATGCATTTGCAGCATCACAACATAGAATTACCAAAAGATTGTATACGTTACCATAGCAAACTAAAAAGTGAATACATTTATAAAACAAAACATAGATGGGAAAAACACAGATAAATACCAGAATTCACTTGCAATAGAAAGGGCCTCAAAATTACACTTAGAAATCTCACTCTAAATTTCTTCACTACTTTGATACACAGACAAATTTTAAGCACAAAGAAAAATTTGCAGACTTTAGAGGCATACAGAAAATTTCATAATTTTTTCTTAAGGAATGAAAGTTACATTGCTAAAATGCAAAAGATCTCTAGTTGTAGATTTGCCTTTCAGAGCCTGGAGGAAGCCAGCTCAAGGAAAGCCGAGAAAGGATTCTTTGCATGGATTCATACATCAGTAAGGATTGCAGCCCACCAATTAAGCAGGAACACAGCCTTAGGGTCAGACAATCTGGGTCTGAATCCTTACTCTTCTACATATTACATATATGGCCTTAGTCTCTTATCTGTATAATAGGGAAAATGAAGCTGGCCTTAAGTTCAGTAAGTATTACTAGCAAAGTTTATAAATTATCAAGCAGAATTCTTGGCATGTGGCCTTCTCCAGTGTACGGCACTTATTATTCCCATTATTATTTGTAAGTGACACACTTGGAAGTAGGCACACTGTAGAAGGCCAATTAAGAGTGAATTCTCCTTGGCATGGACAAGGGTGCAAGTGCACTTCTATACTTTAGTTCACAGAGAAGCATTGGAGGCTACAAGCACCACAGACAGAGATTTATCCCCTCAAGCCAACAAAACAGAAGGGGCAACGACAGAGGAAGTATTCGCTTCTCCAACACACCACAAAAGAGCTTGTGCAAGTTAAATGGGGTGACGCTCAAAGGTCATTCTACAAAATTATATAAAAAGTTGATACTTGCTACTTCTTTTGCAGTCTTCTTTCCTAGCCTAGTTAAGGGGAAAATGAGTAATTAATGATTTAAAAATAAGACGAGGCTTACATATTTATCTTAGGTTATTAATATTCGAGAGAACTTGGTTTATACCTCCTGACCACCATTTAGGAATGCAACTTCTTTTCCTTTTTATTTTTTGATACTGGGGATTGAATTTAGGACCTTACGCTTGCGAGGCA